GTGGAATGGTAATGCATTGTAATAAAAGCAAGAATAGGAAATGAGATAAGCATTTATGAAAGGAGAAATATTAACTGCTTATGTAAAGATGAAAGAACAAAGCCAATGAGAGTATTTTTATGGATGGTAATTTAAATTTAGTATTAGCAAATAATAATTTTATAATTTTAAATTTATTGAACTTTGCTAATGTAATGGAGAACACATTTCCTTTATGGTATGTTACAGCCTAATGAAATTTTATCTATAAGATAATTGCAATGATGATGATGATAATACTTATTTTTGAAAAATTAAGTGATTAATAATTTCCTAAAAGCTAGCCTTCGTCAGGCAATTAACTGATGTTGTTTGCAAATAAAGTAATAATAATAATAATAATAATAATTATTATTATTATTATCATTATCATTATCATCATCATCATCATCAACGACAATATCGTCATCATCATCGTAATTATTATATTTGTTATATTTTTTGGAATGCTTATACCAATGCATTCCCTTTAATTTTCTCCGTGCTTTAATCAAGAAGATATTAGTTGTAGTTGTTTCTCGTAATAACCAAGTGTATACTAGAACGTATTAAATGAAAACCTACATAAGTTGACGGTTAATCTTCAATTCGGGAAGTAATGGTACAGGTAATAGTACGAGTTAATGAGAATCATCAATAGTCTAATGGCATTGATATATATTTTTTTAATCTATGCGCTATATAAAACGGAACGATAGGCCTACCTCTACCAAAAAAATAGGTATAATGCACCACGCTTACGTTAATCAAGGTGTTAACGCCACGATTAGAATATAATAGACATGTGTTCATTTAAATTAATTCACGCAATCGAACAATACTTATATGATCAATTAAACTTCAGGCGCTGTTGTAAAAATAAAATAATCAAATATAACGGAATAGAATAATGGCGTCATCACGTTGTTTCCCGCAACACAGGGGAAATGCATAGGTCCGTATAATGAGGACAGAATAGGTTATGCACAGAAAACCTGCCCTGTAAAGGGACTACCAGTAAATATCGTCAATGAAATATTCATTATAAACAAGATTCATTTTTTCGTATGATTTTTTGCTTTGAAGAGAAATAAAAATTCCTCTCAATACCACCGGCAACTACTCGTTTGTTTACAAAATTACATTCGAGCCGACCATGTGTTCTATTAATTAATATCTGGTGCATAATAACAACCATCTATGAGTAGGGCCAGTCATACGACATAATGAGACCAGGGCGCGTCCAGTTGCCATTGGCGATGAGTAGGGGGACTCGAGGTTTTCAAGAATTTACCAACACTAGGGTATAGGGTCGCTTAGAATTCCAGGCAGGGTCAAAGGGACAGAGCGCAGGGGCAGATTTAGTGGGGCCGGGCCGGACCCGACCCCTCTCAATTTTTGGAAAGTTAAAAAAAAGGGGAAAAAAAGATAGAAATAATTGATCGCCCAAAGCGCCTCAGAGGTTATTTTCGGGTGTGTAGAAACAACAATTTAGCGGGGTCATGCCCCCGGAACCCATAGTGTAGTGTTGTTTTATCGGCCCCACTCCCCCCCCCCATTTCGGCCCCCACTTTCGGACATCTCTGGAATCCGCCCCTTGCTTGTGGTTAAAGTGTAATTTTTCTATTGTGCACCTGTAAATCCTTAAGGGCAGGGGTTGCGTCGTGGGGGTCAGGGCCCAGCCCCGTTGGATAGAGCTGCCACTCCACGTCGGGGAGAAAAACACAATTCGCCGGGAAAAAGAAAGAAAAATACATGTATTTTAAACATATTCTAAAATCGATTACATAATGCTTTGAAACACCTAAATTGTCGAGCTTCAGCCTCTGGACCACTTTCGAAAGATTTTGAGCGACCCCCGACATCGCCCACTCTCGTCGGGGAATCGCTACCCCACCCCCCGTAGGGGAATCGGACAACCGTCGGGAATATCCGGGCGCCACCCCTGCTTATGGGTCCGCATCATCGAAACAGTTAATTAGTGTACTAGGAAGAAGAGATGAGATTTTAGTCTCTTACTTTATACAGAAGCTCATAATATATTAATTGAAAGAGGAAGATTGTTCCAAAGACTGGTATCTGAAAGACCAATTTTTTGCTTTCTTTTTATTTTAATTATTCTAATTTAATGTTTTAAAATATATTTTAACAATTTTGTATGTAGAATTTCCAAAGTTAAAAGTTTAAAACGAAGTTTTTAAGTTGTGTTTTTTCTCCTATCAGGAGGATGGAGAGCGCCCAGCAGTGAACATCTTTACCTATGGTCAATATGCTGAGTTTCAACAGGCTAGTTAAACTTTGCTTGTTTCAGCTTGGATTTTGTATTTATTTCGCCATTGTATTATACATACCTTTATCAACAAAATAAATTATAGGATTATGATATATTGTCGTAATATAATAATGATATGATATTATAATTATGATATGACATCATGTGATACGATATGATATGATATATGGTATGATATGATATGATATCATATACCGTATGATATGATATAATATGACATGATATGATATGATATGATGTGATACGATATAAGTGATATGATATGTGATGATGATGTGATGTTATTTGACATGTTATGAAAATATGATATGATATGAAGTAATGTGTTCCTCCATGATATGATAATGCTATATGATATTGCATTTGTGTTGCATTGTATGTGATTTTTGTGTGATATGATGTTATGATGTGATAAGCGATGTGATGATATCATGTCATGATATGATATAATATGATATGCTATGATACATATAAAATATAATGTCAGGTGTAAGGGAATGATTTTTGAGAAGTGCGAAATGTGCGAATAGATCGAACAGTTTGTCGCCCCCTTCAGTCTATCCACGGATTCTAGGGATTGATAATAATAAAAATCAATAATACAACATAACATTATATTGTATTATTAGTGTTACTGTTTACTGTGTTCTCTCTGAGATAGTGACTGCTACTATTAATGACTGTCATTGTTATTATTATTTTTATTATTGTTTTAATTGTTGTTACTATTATTATTATTATCATCATCATCATCATCGTCGTCATGAAGAAAGCGTAGACAGACACTAACTATAAGCTCAATTAAATTGGGACTACTGCACCAAATAATAAATGGTAATTGTCTAGCTTATTAGGAGGATTATTTTATTCCTATCAGAAATATACAGAGTAATAGTACACGAGCGAGTGGGGCCCATTGGGGACTGGGGCCGCCTATTGTCCCAGCGGGATCGAGCCTCTGGCGGCTCCCTCCCCTTCCCTTCATTTGAAGCTACGGCCGTTTAACGGATTAGAGAATTTAATCGATTATAGAGTGCCTAATTTCATAGGTACCACCGGTAATGAACAATAAAGTATAGAAACATGAAAAGTATTTCCTTTTATTTAACGTGCGGAAAAGATTCATAACATAGGTATCATGTTAACAGTGGCAGATCCAGGACTCAATTTGAAATAGAGGGCCCGGGTTCCAGAGAAGGATTCACAGATGGACGGTCTATCAACCTCAGCCCCACCATGATTGGAACTGAGGTAAGAACATTTATGATTATGGCACATCTGGACGGCCGGATATGACACTCTTTGACTTAAATTTGAGTAGGATTTTCTTTTTTTCTCAATTTTTATGAATTTTGAATGATTCAGGGGGTGGGGGCCGGACCTCTTCTTAAATCCACCACTGGTTTAATTCTATTAATTCAGTATTTATTTGAAAATCGAACCTATCAGGTCTATTCGTCTAATTTTCTTCATATATGTAGGCCCTATATTGACGATGTCCAGGGTCCAAGCCTTACCGGTAATTATTTCGGTATTTAATAACATAAGAATTTACTATTTGATACATTGTAAACATAGAGTACCGGTAATAGAAATCATTAAAAAAAAATACATGAAAAAGAATTAAAAGCGATTAATTACCAGCTTTCATCAATAAACGGTCAGCTTCATTTACAGTACACTTGGGAAAAACATATGGATACTGGATGAATTTATACATTTAATAATTTTCATTTATTTATTTTATTATTATTTTTTACCTAGTTTTTCCGGGCCCCGGAGCACTTGCGCCGGTTACCTCGGCCTCTCAGCGCCACCGTTTATAACACTTTGAAGAAGAAAAAAAAAAACAAACAAAAAACAAAAGATGCAGATGCTGCCGCCACCATTGCCAAATGCCCATAAATAAAATTGTTGCCGCTCGAATTAAAGTGGGCGGAGCAATTAATATTAATATTCATGAGTTTTTACTTGAGCAATGAACCCGTGTGTGGCAGTATTCACGGTGGTCTCTGGTTTTGAGGAATTCGACGTAAACAAGTTAGAAATCCACAGAATATCGGTTTACTTTGACAGTTTCAACTATTTAATGGCGATAGAAAGATAGAAAATCTATCTGTGTGTAATTTGTGCTATTGGACGTTGTCTTTTAAAGTCGGTAAGTTGAAAAAAATGATGTATAAACGTTGACGTCTTAATGAAAGTGTGTCCATGAAGAGGTCTATATCGGTTACTACGCTGTGAATGAGGCGATCGTGGTATGTTGATGGCTACTGCTGTACAGTAGGCTAGGCCTAGGCCTAAGGGCAAGCAGGGGCTGCACTGAGTTGAGAGGTTTACCTTAATATTGTGGGAGCTAGGAAGAAATTGACGTTCAAACTTGTATGAATCATCTATATATTTAACTTGTATCCTCACTGTTATCTACTGGACCTACACATTTCATTAATAATATATCCTCTCTTCACAATAATTCGGCCTATAAAGTCTGTCCGTGATTTTTGGAAAATAAGGACCGATTTCCACGAATATTTTGCCGAAAATCAGGCTTTGACCAAATTATCTTAATAGATAACCAGTGCAATTATGCAGCAATTACGATTCTTCGCAACTATTTTCTTAGCGATTTTCTGTGCAAATTTGAGCTGATTTTTTAGATATCTTCTGCGCAATTAAAAAACTTTACAGTATGGGTACATATTAGAACAATATTCATTTCCTATACGGCATGATATAATTTTTAGAATTCATAGTGGATGTGGTATCGTATTGAATGCCAGTACGTTCCCAAAATATTTGCGAAAAAAAAATCGCACAACTGATTCGGGTAGGAATCAAACCCACGACCTTCAGATAACTAGCCTTGTGTCATAACCACTAGACCACTGAGCTTGCACATTGTGGCTAGTGTTGAATTCCATCCCCAAGTATCAGTAGGTTCTGCAAATTACAATGCTGTTGATGTAGTTTGCGTCAGAAAAGTTAATCGGAATGATGCTTTGCCCTACGTGACATGGTATTTTACTGAATGCTCAGTATGTTGCAAAATACTTGCAAAAAAATTTGCAAGTGATTTGGGTGGGAATCAAACCTTCAACCTCATGATAACTAGCCTGGTGTCATTAACCACTGGACCACCGAGCTTGCGTAATTTACATTGTTCATAAATTTGTAGACTATTTCTCACTTTTTTTTTTCTGAGAGACCATGTCTTCTACAAAAAAACATGTTTTTCCAACGTGATGGTATTAGTGAATGTTTCTAGTTGATTGAATAAAATAAAAAATGAAACTTGTTTAATATCTGACATTAAATTAAAAATTCATAAACAAACCAGGATAATCAATATTGCCCCTTTTAAAAAATAAAAAATCTTGGTTCTTTTCAACCCCTATAATAAGGAGCTCAAGCAAGGAGCAAGATGAGAAAACTTCAACTTTAACATCATTATTAGAGGATGTACTTCTGAGGCTCATCCTGCCACTTGATGAGGCTAGGCTCATAGATGGCCCCCATATTCTCATTTGTACACAACAGCTTGTCCAGGGGACCTGATAAGGATCACTCTACGTAGAGCATGTTTGCATTTTTAAAAGATTGCCACGATCGTGATTAAATTGCTTAATAATTGAAAATGGACCTTCCTGATGACGACAAAACTTATCAGCGGACCAGTCAGAACAGCATGGAATATGCGCTTGTTTCACCCACACACGCTATTGTTTTGAGCCTCAGCCACTTTGTTAAGTGGTATACAGCTTTGCAGAAGTGCAAGGGGCAGATGGAAGTTCCAGGTTACCATTTGATCATTATTTCAGTCAATAGTGACACATCCTCATTTCTATAGTTTTTAAGAAGTACTATACTATTACAGTTTCTGAGCCATTAATTTTTCAAGTCTAATGACATCTTTCTAAGTAATAATTTATTGTTTTAGGAAGTACTATTGATGTATTGATTAGCCAGAAGACAAACATAATGGAAAAGATATAAAATATGCATTGCAACTATCATTAGTAAAAATATCTGTCAAACTGATTAACTGAGAGTGCAGTAATGTTTCACTTTTGAGATACAGATCAAGATATATGGTGAAAACTCTGAACAGATGTGAAAAATCAGAACCTATTTTAAACCATTGGCAATTTGTCGTCATTTAAAGATTAGAATTTTACTTGTGAATTTCATACCTAACTATCATTATTATCTTAGCTAAATAAAGTAAACATATTGACGTCAATGATTCAAGAGCTTTTGTTGCTATGTATAGTAACACTAAAAACAAATTACGGACTCTCTGATAACTGTTGCACAAATTACGGAACAATAAACAATTTGATCTATTATCCTCATGTAAAACACTAATAGACCAACAAAGCATCTTCACATCTTTCTCTTTTAGATACCAGTCAGTCAATAATTTAATTTCTGTTAGATATTTCTAATATAATTTCTATAAAGAAAAGAATATACTCAGTTAAATTGAAAAGCCAATACTTTCTTAATTCAAAATAGTAAAAGTTGAGTACTGTACAATTGGCACAAGACAAGATTTACATGAAGTAAGTTCTTTAAATGGTGTTTAGTTTAAATAACTTTTTTCTTTCATGTTGGTCCATAGAGTACTACAGCGTTACGTCACGATACCACGTGATACTACCCCGTTGCTATCGTTGCAAAAAGCGTTCAACCGGACGCCAACCTAATTATTAAGATGTTGTATCTTACTTTTTCTTTGTAAATCTTAATTGATGATTAAATGTGTGTTCGATAACTAATATGCCTATAAAATCATTCAGACGTAATGAGCAGTTTAACCAACGTCTGTTGACAACAGAGAGCGCAATCTGGCGTCGTGACGACACAACTGTGGTACTCTATACTATTTACCACACAAGAAGTTACCATCCTGAAGTTTCAGTTCATTATTATAGATCATCATCTTATTTACTATTTTTTAAGCTAAAGGCATTTGTCTCTCAAAATGTCATATTTTCAATAGCAATGTGGATGAAAAAATAAAAAAATTGAATAAATGAATAAATTTTGAAAAAAATATATCATGGAAACAATGGGATCACTAACTTTCAAGTTCAAAAGTACATTTATTCATAGTGGTCAAAATGGTAGATGCGTTCAATAACATAATAATTATAAACAATTTCATTATTTCTAATATTTGGGTTATTATGAGTACTATGAAAAATTATATAATTAGTTTTTTGGGTAAAATTAATAAAAAGTTTGTTTGAAGCGCACCAATCACAATATGTACAGTAGGTAATTCTCGATTAACAATATTATATAGTCTATCAGTATCAATATTACCGTCTAGACAAGAAAGGGTAGTATCATCAGCGAACGATGTCACCTGCAGTGTGTCACTAACTTTCTCTAAAATCATTGACATAAATTAAAAACAACAATGGTCCCAATACTGAGCCCGTGGCACACTACAAGTTACATCCCTCGTGGATGACTTATATGATTCAATTTATACAAACTGTTTCCGATTGCCATACAGTAGTATTCAAGTTTACAGATTAAAATTACCTTAGCAACTTTAATACTGTATGAATGAAAAAGAAGTGTTAATAACATAAAATGATTAATAATGTGAGAATAAACTGATTTAATGACATGCGAAGTAATATTGTTTTGACTGCAACCCTCATTTAAGTTTAGATCTGAAATAACTGAGCTTCTGTTACAGGAGTTTAAAAGAAAAATTGAATTTGGAAGTGGATTTGATAACATATATATACTAGATCATTCGAAGAAGAGGATATAAATTTGGAAATGTCCGCACCAATTGATGAGAAATATCCATCAAATGATTCACACATTTCATGTTTGTCTGTTATAATTTTTCCGTTGTCTTTAATAAAATTTTGATTATTTTTACTTTTTCTTTGTGGGTTTATGACTGAGTTGACAACTAAGTCGATATTTCTTTTACTATTAATTTACTGTATGATCAGAAGTGTGCGTATATATTAAAGCTTCGCGCACACTATTGGCTGACGAATGGCAAATTGTGGGTCAACGAATCCATCCAAATCCATGCGAGTGCTTGATAAAGCGACGTCAACTGGTGATTATCAGTGGCAGTCTGAGAGATCGTTCTTTTTAAAATCCGTCGCACATGCTTCATCACCTCGTGGTCACAATGGAATTGTGTTGACCTACTGTTGGCCGCCATAGTGCGTGCCTGGCTTAAGGAGTCCTTACCGTATCAAGTGGTCAATGTTTATTTTTCTCAGTGCCAACCATTTTGAGCTGATTTATTCAAATTATTCATGTGCAATTTTAATATTTTTAATATATTGAAATTCAATTCAAATTGTTGTAAAAGAAATTCTTTATAATAACTATAATTTTAATTAATATTTATTTTATATAATATGTAAATTATGTAATGAGTAGTTGCTTAACAATTTCTTTGCTTTTTGTAATTAGATTAATATTTAATATTTAATATTTTATATATAATATTTAAATTATGTAATTGAGTAGTTGCGTAACAATTTCTTTGCTTTTTGTAATTTGATGTTTGACGTACCATATTTTCTAACTGTTTATGCCAGATTCAAGGAAAGTTTTTTCTCTTTAATGTATTTTTATATGTGAATAGACCAATAAAGTCTTATCTTACCTTTATAAATTTTTTTGTGCTTATGTCTTTTCTTGTTCACACCCACCTGCCTTGAATCTGATATTAATGTACTGTAGAATGTCTATAATTTGATATACTATGAATATTGTTATAATAATTATTATTAAACTATGATGCAAATTTCATCTACAGGGGCGATGAATATTCTTACTATTGAGGAAAAAACTCTTTAGCATCCAGATCAATTTGAGAAACAAAAATCATGACAGAAAACTCAAGATTAACAAGTACGCCCCCAGCGGATGCGAATGTTAAAGATAGTATTATCAAGACAGGCTATCTCCTCAAGTACAAGGTATAGTTATTGTAGATTCTACTTTGAAATTATTTGTCTTGATACAAAACCAAATGAAAGTATTAACTTGCTTGCAAGGAAGATTTTTTGAAAGGTTATACTGTAGTATATAGGTCGTTGATGTTTTGTTTCAGTTTATTCCATTTTCCATTTACAATTTAACATAATGAGAAAGAACTGATAAGTTTGTTTTCTTTTAAATTTTATTGTTAAATTGTTATTTATTACAAATTGTTTTGTTAATAATATAAATGTTTGCAATCTATTTTTTTTGTTTATTTACTATCCTTCACCATATATTTTAGAAAGAACAAAAAAAAAGTTTATTCGAGTTTGTGATAAGTAGTAGGATGCATCCTAATAATTATTTTAAATATTTATTATTCTATAAAAGAATACATTCGAACGTCTCATGGATTGTTGTTGTTTTTTTTTAATATTGATAATTGCTAATATTTGACATCAGTAGTTAAAAATATTGAGTATAAAAATCTATTAGTCTGTAACAAGTACTTTATAGGGTATAAAATTTACATGAAAATGTAGTAGATCTACTGTAGGAGCTTGCAGTTGGAGAGACCCTTGAATTATGTCTATGAATAAGGGAATGACCTTGCGAATCCATGCATTTCCATTATGAAAATTAACTGTAAATACTAGATGACGCTATTGCTGGATTCCTATCCAAGCGTTATGTCAGTTTGGCTTATGTTTTAAGCCCCCTTTTGCACTGAAATTAACCCATATTGCATTTAAACTCTATGAAATGTAGATATTGTAATGTACTGTACCATTTAGTTGCATAATAATTATCTATTCTTTCCATTTATATAGTTCACTATCCACTAAAACCACATTTCATTTTTCTGTGATTTAATTTTTTTAAATTTTTAAGTTCTTTTTAAGTTTATAGAGTAGATTTTATTAATGTGATAATAAAACAAAATCTATATAATCTAGATGCATTTTAAAAATTTTATTTTGCTGATTGCAACTTCTCGTAATATTTGTCTTTATTTAAAGCTATTGAAACGAGAAACATTGAGAAAAATATTTTTCTTCTGACTTTTTTTTAGCATAGGTTAGTGTAGAAAAGAAAGATTATTTAAAGAAAAATATTTTTTTTTCATGCTGGTGGGTGTGCTCTATAACACACACAAAAAATAATTTTTTATTTCAAGTCATTATTACAAGTAAATTTCTGCCCTTATGAATCATCACCGAAATTATGTTATGCTGCGTATTCTCCTCTTAACTCTGTTTTAATTATCCCAATGGATTTAATTATTTGTCTCTAATTCCATCCTCATCTAATCTTTAGTCCCTTGTGGAAGTTGTTTACTATAAACATTCCTGTCTAGGCTGAAACAACTTACTAACCAAAACAATTTCTTATTTATTTAATGACAAATTTATAAACATTATTTATAGTTTATGATGCATTCATGTACAGTACTTTGCACAAATATATTATTTCTGCACAAAACAGGTACAGCAGTAATGTTCAGTACTTAAATAATTGTATCATAAACCCTCTATTCTGTTTCTATCGACTGCATGACTCTAAATGACTTAAAATGAGTCTGTATAACATGGCAACCACTTGCCAGTAGAAATTCACTGAGCGTTTGTCATTGTCAGGTAGGTACAGTATATAAACGTAATAATTGGATTTTACTTGGATCAGTTGTAGGATTTTCTTTATCAACAAATACATCATATTATTGTTTCTTTAAGTTACTATGTGTACATTAGCAGGCTGTTTGAAGTATGTTCCTGTCCAATACATCTTCTCTAACGATGCCCCTGCCACTACTTAATAAATCTTTATGTCATGAAACTGAAATGCTGTGTATATTGGACAAATCTAGGTCTGTGTGTTTTGTACAGTTTTCCTCTCCTTTCTCTTTTCTTCTCAATTTTGATTTGGTATCTTTTATCAAGTACAGTAATATGGATCTGATGAGAATTCCATTAATGTACAAAAAGATATTTTTGGAATGAACTTGCTTTCATTAGAGTGTCATCCTCTAATTAAATTATTTTTTTTTTATTAGTTCGTTGATCCACTTTTAAATTAAAGTATCAAGTAAATCTTTGATTTTACAAAGGAGTTCAGGGGTGCTTCCTTAGAAAATTCTGGGTAGGGCCATGCGACGTAGGAAGCATTGTGCAGGGGATGAGGGTAGGGGTTGCTGCTTGAGAATTTTGTTTAAAAATGCTTGATCATATGTACTTAATCTAAATAAAAATTAGCATGTTTTGGCCCACCATGTGCATCTGTTTCTCCTTTCTGTTTTTTATTTATCTCATTTAGGGGCGGAGACGGCTAGCCCATGTGGGGACCCCCTGGATCCGCCTCTGGGATATTTTGTCTAAAAAACTGCACTCCAAAAGCCAGTTTGCTTTAGCTGGAAATTGAATATAATAGTACACTGCCTTACATGACAAAAGGAAGTAAACTGACAATTTTTTAAAAATTAATTTTTTAGTCAATATCAAAGAACTTATACTTTTGATCATGTTATTTGAATGCTAAAATCCCACTAATTAACAAGTAATTAGCAACACAAAAAGTAGGGGTTCCAAGTTGTGAAAGTCAAATTCCTGGAGATTTTGTCGTGCAGGACAGGCAGAGGTTGTGTAGTAGCAACGCATGTACAAGGACACGCTTGTAAAAATTTTAATATCGCTTTGTTCAATATAAAAACAAACAGGCTTAGACAGGTTTATGTCTCTTTTAATACCATATTGCTGCCTAGAATGTTCAATAAATCTTATTTAATGCATAAAATGGGAAAATTTAGGTTAGCATAAGTCCCTATGTGCGAGAATCTGTTTAAATCCTGGAGAAATACAAGAGAAATTCAAATTCAGGGAGACGGGGAGATGAACCAAAATTCCTGGAGACTCCATGACAATCCGGGAGACTTGGGAGCCCTACAAAAAGGAAGTTAGTGACCAGTATAAGTGTAAAATTACTATAAAAACCACCAGAAAAGGAAGCAGGGGACAACTGACCATTTAACATGCTCCATTTATGCATGAATGGTTTACATACACAAAAGACCAAATCGGATTAACAGCGATAAGATGTACAGTAGTCATGATATTTATCTTATGATGAAAAAGAAATTTATTTATATCAATATGGAAGTAATTTGAAAATAAGGATAAAATATATCCTGATGATCATATCCTTTCATCAAATGATTATATATAATCAAGGATATAGAAATAAGTATACTGTATCCTTATATTTCTATAAATAGAAAATAAGTATAATTGACTACAGTATAGTATATGACTAAAGCTAGATAGATACAAATTTATAACATTAATATTATAGAAAAACTATTTTGTGTATATGATATCAATCTGAGAAAAGTTTTTATTTTAAATGGCTTTTTTTAAAGGATGGTAAATATTAAAAATTCCTAGCATAAGGATGTTATGCATCAGGTTGATAGGTGATGTTGTTATTACCTAGGTCACTCACAGTGTGGATTTTTTATTCACCTTCCCTATTTTAATTTTTTTTTACTTGATTCATATTAACATTGATCCCTCAGTGTATGTTTTATATGTTTTATCTGTGGTTTAATGCATAATTACGACCAACAATATGCCAAACCATAATTACAGTAGGTATAAAAACGTGGGATGAATGTATTTTTAAGGATTCAGTATGCAAGGAGGAGGCAGAATGTGGGCAGCCGTGCTAATCATAGAGTAGTAATAGCAACCTATGACAACAGGCACGGAGGCTAAGTAACGCCATCAAATACGGCTGTCAACAATTCTAATCTTAATAATAAGTCAGCAAATTCTTGACTACTGTACTTCACAACCAACATTTTCCCAATTTATTCTCCCTCAACAGAATAATCACAAACTTTGTTACGGTTCTTTGTCTGTCAAAGACCACGATGTTCACTGGATTTTATTTGGTGAGGACAGTAGTTTGACTTCAAGGTCAGGTCAAATAGAGACACTACATTACTTTGTGATCGAACCCCTGACCTCAAAAAAGATTGAAAAACTAAATCACAACCGCTGTATGAAAAGCTGAAATTTGTTGTATTTTTTTTCTCAAGTAATAATAGCACACACATTAATTTCATCAGCTGCTATCAGGATTTCACTATGTACATTTAGTGTTCAGTTGTTCGTTCTTTATTATGGTTTTTTAATGCATCGACTTGAATAGATCCTCATTCATTATAAAAACACCTCTTACATGGGATTATGCTAGATTTTTGGCTAAAATATAACATGACTTTTTAATCTTTAGAATCAAGAATTCCTTCCCCTGCTGATTGACTTGGGAATTAAACCAAAGACAAAAGCTTCAGTTTCCTGGTCAGTTGTGGTCATGGCCAATCTTTGTAGAAACTGTATTTTTTTTATTTTATTAGTTTTTTTTAAAGATATTTGTTTTGTGAGAAGTGATACTAGTTTTTCCAGTGATTAATAGTAACTTTCTCCAAGGTTTGATGTTGAACATAATTTAAAACATACAGTAAACCAAAAAAAAAGTATACTGAATCTGAGTGTATGCTATAAAATAATTGATCGTTGTATTATTATATCACTATGATGATATAAAACTACTGTAGACATAAAGAGGCTGTACAGTACTTGTATGATTAATAATGTGTTTATGTGAATGATAATAAAAAAAAGGCTAAGGTGGTTGTCAAGCACATTGATGATATACTCTATTATTATTGCATAAAGCAATATAGAGATTTTTTATTCAAATGACAATGTGTATCTGAATGATATAGCATCTAGAAATATATTCCATGTTTATTTTATTATTTTCAATATAACAGAATACTGTATGCGTATGTAAAATAATATAAAAACATATTGAAACACAAGTTACAATACAAGTAAAATATATAATATTAATAAAGTCCATAAAGCTACTATTTAAATACAGTATAGATAATATTATAAATATACAAAAGTGGTGACTAATATTTTATTTGTAG